GTCAGCAATGTCAAAAAAAAAAAAATATTATATTTCTTTAAATTAATAGTATTCGTTATAAATGTAGTAAAATGTATAATAGTATAATAATTTGTTGGTGGTTGTAGGTTGACATACAATTGCAGCAGTGTTGTGTATGTGACAATTCTATTACGTACGTTATATACATGTCGTGGGTGTTGTGACTTGCGCGGAGCAGGGCTTACAAACAATTCAAAGAAACGTTATGTACGAGACACTACAAAAAAAAAATTAAAACACATATTATTCTATTCGTATAGTTCAAATTGGAAATATTTGATTTTTATCGTGTTTGAAAATATGTGAGCATCTTATTATTTAAGTGTAATATTATGTTGTAAAAACAATTTGAAATCAGTATTTTTACTATATATTATTTGTAATAGTTATCTATTCCCAACACTGGAATCATTTCGTATCAGCATTTGAAATTCATTTTTTTTACGGTGGATATTCAACCGTTGGTTAAACCGGTTTTCAACGATTTTCGATATCTCGTTGTAATTCAAAAATTAACTATGAATACATACTTCTAATTTTCACAAAATGATTATGATAAAATATTATAATTATCTGTAGGTACCTAAATGATAAAATGTTCAAAATATTTTTACTCTTTTTGACCTATTTAAAGGCATTTGAAATTTTGAAAAAAATTCAGTCAATTTTCACCGGGTCTAAATACTTGAACAATTAATACAAGGTTCCTCATAAGTTGTAGTAATAGCAATTTTTAATTAATGAAGATACATTATGTACGATTATTTTTTTTGTTAAGCATTTTAAGTAGGTACAGATTTTTACAAAATTAGTCGATACCGCGAACATTTGCAAATCTTTTTTTGGTTAAAAATGTATAGAATGTTCAATTTTTATAGCTAAAGATTGGAAATTTAAAACGAGATTTCTCATAAGTGGGTAATACTGCAGTTACCAAAAAATATATGAGCACAGTTTTTTTTATAGTTATATTAAGTTATAACGAAATTAGATGTTTAAACGAAGATTAACGGTATTCATTATTTCGTTATAATTCAAAAACATTATTCGTGGTGACTGATGTCTGATAGCTTTTACTTATATTGCTATATTTTATACATACAATGAAGTTTTATAATGCAATGTTTTAAGCAAAATTTAATTTAACACATTGTTTTGCTATTAGTAAAATAAATTACTTAAATAGCTTCAATATAAATATAAATATATAATATCATCTGACATCTATTCTATACTCAGTTTACTCTATTCCAATTTCCAAATAAGATCTGGTGTCGGCGGCGACTAGTTTTCGTCGGGCGGCGGTCAGACATATGGCCAATTGGCCATTCACTACGGCGACGCGTCAGGCGCTGTTACGGAACAAAGCCCATGCGCACTACTCGGCCGCCGACTCCCTATCTTATTTGGAAAAGAGTACCTATAGATAGCTATATTTTTATGATATAAGTATCAGGTGAACATTACATTGGAATTGAAACTAGAGCATTTATTAATACATTACTATAGTACAGTAGGTACACTAAAAAAAAATATTATGCAAACCATTAACCAAATGATATACATATATTAACATGGGTATAAAAAAAATTAATAGTTCTAATTATTACGGAATGCTATGATGTACCTAACTAAAAGCCTAAATAACAATAAAATCAGTGACTGTGAATACCAAAAATCATCATCAATTCCCTTCCATCTTCTATAGTTTAACGTGTGAAGCACACATGATTAATGATTAATAGCAACGATATCATCCGTATCTAGGTTTTTACCTCGGGAAAGTAAACAATTTTACTCGCCCAAACGGACTATTAATTTTTCGGTAAAAATTATTACCTTCGCCCAAACGACCACCTCCAGTTGAAAGACATTGCAACTTTCCTATATGGAACTAAAAGTCTTGCGTGTTAGGTATTCAGAACTCTCCTTCTTATACTATACTTACGACTATTAGAAGTTTTTTTCTGCGATTTTCATTGGAATAGGAACAAGGTGAACAATTAAGTAAGTAAAATTTAATGACATAAATAAAGAAACCCTTTGAGTAGGCATCATTATATAATACGTACCAAACAATAGTATACTAATAATAAACGACAAATACATGCATATTATATAATATATATATATATTGGGTGCCCAAAAACAATATGATTAATTAATATAGTGAAATATAGTACAATGATACATGAATAAACGTATTGGGTAGCTAAACAATACCGAAAAAAAAAATATAATAATTATAAAAAATAAATGTATATGTAGGATATAAAATAATGTTATGTACATTTATAAATATTAAGCAATAGATGTACTTAATGACAATTGACAATATTATAAGGAATAATGGGTGTATAGTTAACATAGGCGGACTAGAGGCCAAACACTGGGGGTGCTAAAATTATGTAGAGAACACAAACCCGCGGGGGCTACGCCCCCACACCCCAAAATAACATACTTTGATTTTATAATTACTATAACCATTCCTAAATGCACCATGAACATTGAACACATAAGGACACTAATATTTAAGTAAATCTGCAACAGTAATATACCTGATGAATACATGAGGTATATTATATTATTTAGGTGATAAAAATAGTAACCTGGAAGTGTAAATAGATAAAAAAAAAAAATGTGGTTAAGTGGGTATCGCTTTGCTGTACAATAGTTGTTGAGAATGTGGTTGTAGTGGATGTGTTATATTTGAATTCAATTTGAAAAATGTTCTCATAAATAGCTATAAATAGTTCATAAAAAGTCAAAAGTGTTTAAAGAATTTACGATGTATGGAAAATGCTATTATAAATATTTGGTGAACATTTCAAGAGTCTACGGTTATTAATTTTGGAAATACATCAAAATCCAAAAAATCGATTACCTAATGGGAATTCGATTTACCGCTGAATATCGAATACCGTGACAATTATAAGTTCGAACACTCATAAAAAAATTCAAGTTTAAGTATATACGGTTTTTTTATAGGTAGACAAACTTATGTGAAATCTTTTATTAACATTTTTAATATTAGGCCTTAACTGTGAAAGGAAAATATTTTATGAATTGCTAACTGAAAAATAATTAAAAATATTTGAAAAATTTCTCAGTTATAAATACCTCAAAAAGAGTCAAAATTGTTTAAACATTTTACAATGTAAGGAAAATTTTTATTTTAACATTTGATAAAAATTTAAAGTATCTAGGATTATTCGTTTTTAAATTACAACAAAATATCAAAAATGTATAGATGAAATTTCGTTAATTTACTGATAAAAATTGAAAATTGAATGTTGTACACATTTTAGATTCAAATGCTCATAAAAAATGTATGTTACTTTCCAGTAAACTTTTTTTTTGTTTAAGATAGTACCAATTGTGAGGAGTCTTCTATCAACATTTATAATGTTAGCTATGAAAGGAAAAAAAACTTTTATAAATTTCTAACTGAAAATTTCCAAAAATAAATTGAAGTATTCTAAATTCTAATATTTGATATACCTATAATCATTACAAACAATAATTTGTGTTTCTGTTAAAAAAGAAGAAGTAAAAAAAAAAACCTTAAGTAAAGCTAAAAAAACTATTTTTTTCATATTATTTTTCAATTTTTGCTGTTTTTGAACTGGGGGTGCTAAATTAAAGTTTGGGGGTGCTGAAGCACCCCCAAGCACCCCCCTAGTTGTGCCTATGATAGTTAATGACCCAAAAATGTTAAATATACGGTAGGTACATAGGTATTAGGTAACACAAAAAAAGAGGGTGCCCAAAAGAATGAAACAGTGCGCCGATGCTCGACAAACTGTTCTTTTTATTAAATAAGAATATTGTTCACGGTATCATAAAGTTTATTGTACAATGTTAAAAATTAATTATTTACAGTGGTTAGGGATCGACCGGGCCGCACGGCTGGCTCGAGTAAGCAGACCGTGTCGGGCGGTATCGGACCTGTAGAGGTGCGACCAAATTACAAATGTTGGGTGTTATCAATTTGACATGAATAATTATATAATTGAAAATGGAGAGCTAGAACCACTCGTTCACGGACTCTAGCAAGTCGTGTTCGGTGCGGTTCTATCTCACAGTGCCGCCTGAACAGGCGCACGGAGGGTGGTACACGTAAGGTGTTGGTTCTGAAAAGAACCGTTTCAGTAAAGTTGGCCGCGATGGTAGGTCGGCGGCTGCCGGTACGTCTTAACGACGCGGTCGATGGTATAATACGTCCGTCGACGCTGGGTATCTCCGTACGTCGCGGAGACCTCGCGGCTATGTTGACAATCTTGGTCGCGGAATGATCAGGACCGGTGCTCGGTGATTGCCGCTTCTTGCCGACTCGTATCACGAGTGTCTTCGTCGTTTCGTTGACAGTTTGTATTCGGAGCGGCAGTCGGATTGCTGCAGCCGTCAGGTGCCGTCTCGTACGCAGATTATCGTCGTCGCGGTATTAATGGCTTCGTCGGCGGTCTTGACTGGAGTCTCGTGCTGGTTGGTGTTGGTTCTTCGTGTCTTCGGTTCTTCTTTTCTTCGTTCTATGGATGACGAAGTGTTGATTGAAGAGGTGGAAGAAGACTGTTGATTTTGTATAAGCATGCACCCGTATATATACCCGTTGCCGTACCGACTAGTAAACCTGTATGCTGATTGGTGTGTTTACAGTCGGCACGGTTTCTTTTGTAATTTAGCCGGAATTTGTTTTACAAAGGTCAAAATGGTATCTACGTAATTGGTGTCATCTCTTCTATTCATAAATATCCTTTTCTTGTCTGTACTTAAAATATGTATTTAGAAGTCAGCCTTTAAGCGTCGCCTATTTCTGATTGGTCGGGCTTTCATTTTAACCTGTCATTTCGTTTACTCCGTAACAGGTAGTAAGCATTCCATGTAAAAACATAAAAAAAAGTCCAATGAATATACAATTAATAATCAAGTAGGTAACTGATACACAGACCCTGAAATTAAAACTTAAAAATTTTTAAAACTTACATTTTTAACTTGTCAATCATTTTGTTGTCCCAGAAAGATTCATCGTAATTTATTAATTGTATGTCCGTCCAATTTTTTGAGTGGACGACGAAATAACAGAATTTTCGTTTAGAAATGTGCATTTGTCCCTGGACTTGATAATAATAATGATGATCAATTTTTAATTCCATCGCTCCATTGTCATTGAGACGACAAAATAATAGCTATACAAAAAATGTATTATAACAAAATACTATAAAAAATAATGAAAACCTTTTACATTTCTTTGTACTAAACTTCTCTGATATTTTAAAAATTCAATTGATTATAGATTTGGTAGATTTTAGAATATTATAATATTATAGTTACTAACTTTTTTACAGTTTATCGCTTCCAAAAATGTAATTGAATCTCTGACTGCAAATGGACATTTGATTTCAACTACGAAATCATCATCAATTATACCATCTGTGATGTATTATACCAAAAAGATGTATTAATTAGTATTTTAATGTTTATTTTAGATTTTGATAAAATATCTAATGATTTCCGAATTATACATTAGGTACCTGGAGTTGTTGCTAAGTAAGGAAAATGTTCATCAATGATAAGTCTACATGGATTGACTTTGAATTTTAATATGTTTTCCAACGCAACAATAGCTTCTGGTTCGGTGGCTTTACCATAATAAGTTGCCTTTGAAAAAAAAGTTCGGTATAATATATCGTACACTGTTTTTTTACAAGACGTGGTTGGTCGTAATTTACAACACGACCAAAATTTGATGTTGTAAGTCTATTTCTTCGTTCAGAATGCCAAATTTGAGAGTTAGCCTGTTGTCTAGTTAGTGTTTCAATATTTAAACGACCACTTCTATCTAATCGCAAAGAACTGATAAAATCTTCTTTTAATTTTTGTAATGTTTCTTTAGACATATTTTCTTCCACAGGTAGTGGTTCGGCCAAACCATAATGTTCATCTGGGCCAATATGACTTTTTTTCTTAATATTTGTTGGAAAAAGATGTTTTCTAGATTTCATTTGTACCTACTCTTTTTTTTTCAGTCGATGTTATGAATTTCTTTCCTATAATACCTATATATAAATACAATTTATTATAAGGATATAGTTTATGATAAGGTACAACAATATATTGTTTCATAATTTATTTTAATGATACAAACAATTCTTTGAACACAATGTGTTCCGAGGGGAAGGGACCGACCCACATTATATGAAAGTATACCAAAAATGATGAAAAAATACCCTCTAAAGAGTGGGTCTAAATTTTTAATTTTCTAAGTTATGGGCAATTAATTTTTTTTTTATCAAAACCAAACTTATCACGAATTTTTTTTATGTATCTTTAAAAATGTTCAATAATTTTTTTTCATCTTAAATCTATTGAGTGCAAATATAATTTTATTAATTTGAAAATTAAACATTTTTCATAAAAAATTAGAATTTTTAAAAGGATTACTCTAAATAATTTAATATTTTCTACTGGTTAATTTCTAAGTGTTTACTTTTTTCAATTTAATAATAATAATTTGCACATTTCTGGTTTAATTTCATATGACAACGCCACGTAACCTAACCACCTACACCGCCTAACCACGGTCACTTCCCCCAGGAACACATTGTACATTATTTTTTAGTAAAATATTTGACACAAAAATGCATATGCTTCAAAGTTACCTGGGCTTATATCATTTACAATATTTTTGTGTAATAAACGAAGAAATTGTCCATTTGAATTGTACGATATTACTGCAGCTTCAACTCGAGAATTGTACGAATTTCTTTGAGAATAATTTATACGTTTACTCGCTAAATATTTATTAATTATACTATTAAATTGTTCACACACGTTGTTATCGACATTCATAAGTAAGCTATCAACATTTGTGACTAAACGAGATATTAGTTGAGATATATCACTCAAGAACCCTGATTTTTCGGCAGCTTCAATCATATTTTTTTTCATTTGGTAAATTGTGGTTGGCGGACTTGCAAAAATATTTCTCACATCGATCATGACTACCCAAAATGTGACGAAAACTATTATTTATATCTTTCCGTAATCCTATAATAGTTATTTAACATAAACAATAATGCAATTAAATTCAATAGAACAGTTATATAAAAATCAAAATGATATCAAAAAATTTAGTGTATTTTTCCCTCAGCTTACCAACTTCTCTTTCGTAATCTGATTGCCTCTGTAAACTATTACGATATTCAATTGCCTTAGTTATGGCATATCTAAAACGTAAAATATTTGCCCTTATATGGTTTCTTAGTGGAATTGGATATTTTTTATTTATTGTCATTGCTGTTAATATTGTACCATAATTTCGCAATAAATGATTCCGACATTCTATTTTTTTTACAAGCAGTCTACAACCATAAGGCATGATTTCAGCAAGCCTTTTTGAAACGCTTGAATCTCCATCTCCTGATCAAATTATTTAATTGTATAATATTTATTTACAATTAGGTATAAAGATATTTTAAATAGTAGATTGTTCAAACTATATACGAGTATTTAATTTTATTACTACCCACTGATATTATTTATTATTATTATTTGACCACGTATAAGTGACACAATCATAAGTAGGTATAATTTGTAGATAATTTAGTCATTATAATAATGTTATTTCAAAGACAGTCATTGTGAACTATTCCGAAAGGGCCATTATTTATGAACTATAGTAAAGTCCACTACGATAAGTTAATAACTCATATTATAATGTTAAATTATTATGTATCAAAAATGTTAATGTATATATAAATATATCGCGGTATTGCAACTCATATTAAAAACGTTATAACATACCTATTAGTTTATTATATTTGAGTCCGTGCTGTTCTACACTTTGTTTAAACCCACCAGCAATGGCATCAGCTTCCATGCTAGTAGCACCTTTTTTCCAATTCATAAAACATGTATGTTTAGGAGGAGATAACTTCCTATTTTTGGCTCTTTGGCAAATGATACAATATCGATTTCTAATACCCACAAATAAAATTTTTCTCGATTTGTAACCTATTATTGTTGCCTAGAAAAATACAAATGGTAATTTAAAACTGGTATCTACACGTTATAAATGTTATAATATACTATACTACGATAATAATACTGCAATAAATAGTTATACTTAGTTTTGGCACGAATTCCTAGAACATTCATCACTCGAGAGCTTAGTGATTTTTTAACTGATAATTTTTTTGACGGGAAGCGACGAGTTGATTTTTTAGGTTGTTCCATTTTCACGTTAAAAAAACAATTAAAAAAATATAAAGCCGTAATAAAATTCCAGCGAGAATGTAAGTTATTACTGGTGTTAACAGTTGTACAGAATTACTTACCTTTATCTTTAGCGGGCCGCTATCAGGCCAGGGATATGCTAGCTAGTTTTATACTTTCTTATAATATACAGTCAGTATAGCTTAGGTAGTATATGTAGGTAGAGTTATTATAGGTATATAATTATTACGGACAATTGTTTTTCTCAGTTCTATTATGGACCGATCTAAAATATTTGCCTCTCCAATTCTCAAAAACTGAAATTACGCCACTATATTATACAAACCTTTCTACATGCATAACTTCCACGAGACTCCATAAAAATAACAATTTTTTTCCAAATTTTACATAGGTTGGTACTTTTTATAGTCGAGTATAGCACTGTAATTATTACATTATAGCCTATAAACTAGGTACTTCATACTGATGACTTTAGTATAAAATACAATACTAAGTCATCTAGCTATATCAATGAATGAGTATAGGACATTATATATTTATATAGTTAGACTACTTAGACTAAAATACACGCGTACATCTTTGAATACAAAATACAATAATAAATAGCGTAATACATAATTTAATAACTGGCTCCTAATACTTAATAGTAGTTAAAAATTATTAATTATACAAAGTCACACTTTTTTTTTACAAGCATTTAAAGTTCGAATTTTGGCAACATAGAAAATACATAAAAATGAAGAAAATGTGCAAATTATTTTATGTTAGAAATTCATAACAATTTTTCTTTTTAAATCTAAGATTTGGAAATTTTAATCGTAAGTTTTTTTAATTTTATGAAAAAAATATCTACCGGACATTCAAATTGAATTTTTATGAGTGTTTGAAGTTCAAATTTTTATAACATAGGATAATATTGATATTATTCACACAACCATACATAATTTATTATTTATCTCATTTTTATTAATTAAAAACTGTATATAATTTTAACAATTTACACTATATTTTATCAATTCCTATAACACTTTCACTCTTTCTGAGCTATTTACGGACATTTTAGTTTTTTTTTAGTTTTTTCTATTGTCAATTTGTTATTAAATTTGTTGGATCAAGAAGCGTGAAAAATTAATACAAGGCGTTTGATATATTGTTACAATAGCAATTGAAAAATATTAATAGTACATGGTCGATTTTTTATTAAAGTTCATTCAACATTTGAATTTTGAATAAATTTGTCAAATTTAAAAATTTAAAATTATTTTGTAGTTAAAAATATAATTATCATAGGCTGACTCCTGTCTTAGCTCAGATTCGGTTTTCTTCAGCAATGATATTATAGTATCATCGAATTTTAATTTAACACAATTCAGTATAATGGCTCACTTGTAATAACATACTGTACAGTAGAGCGACACCCACTTTCCTACCTTTTTTTACTTGTACAGTTATGCTAATTTTTTTATTTATTTTTATTTTTTATATGAAATATACAATCTGTACCCTGAGGCACAATAAGAATATGGGCTAAATTACAATGACATGAGTGAAGTGTTTTGCTTCTTCTTGGACGGTTTTTATTAGGTACGCTAATTTAAATTTAAAAAAAATCTTGAATATCAAATCGCTAATTTGATAGAAGAATTGTCTATCATTGAAAAAAAAAATTGTTTAAATCGTACGCTTTCCAGCTATTTGGTGACGATTTTATGATAATATTATAATATTATGTAGTTCCATTTTGCTTAAACTTCGCTAGTAATAAGAATACGAATTATAACACCGAAAAATAAAATAATATTATTCATTGACAGAATTATTATTTTCGTATCGACGTATTTGGCTATTTATAATCCGTGCGCGGCTACGATAAATAACCAGTTTTGACCTATGGTGCGGTACAGCTGCATATGTACGCGGGGTAGTGGTAGAAGTACTATTTCAGAATGCTGCCGCTGTAGTCGTTCTAGCAGCACATGACGACGGCAAATTCGTATTTTTTTTGCCCAAAACATGGTTTTGTACTTCCAATAGTTCTCAGGCCTCGTTGATCGTAGAAACATGATTTTGGTATCAAAATAATCACGAGAAGTTGTACTAAATAATCTTGAAACAGATTTTCGATATCTAATTTTGTCGATTTTATATAAAAAAAAAAAAAAATTTAGTACAAACTTCAGATACAAATAAAATTGGTTAGAAAAAAAATTTTAAAATTCTGTTCCAAGGATATTTAGTACAACTTCTCGTGATTATTTTGATACCAAAACCATGTTTCTACGATTAACGAGGCCTGAGAACTATTGGAAGTACGAAAGCATGTTTTTCGGTCGATTTTTTTCTACGGTGACGGCCTATTAAATATATTTAATTATAGATTATTCAGAATATATAATTTGCTACATTATTCGTTTGTAAGACAGAGACAACGGATGCAGGGTAGTCTTCTTAAGTTTTTTTTTTTGGTATTTTTCCAACCCAAATATATTGCGAATTTTATAAATTTACCATACAGAAGTCAGAAGCAGAAGTGGACTGGGGCAACTGTTCAGCCCGTGAAATCTGTATTTTGTCCAGCCCATTCCTTTTCGTCATCACAAAACGTAAAAATGTATAATATGGTACCAAAGTTTTAACAAAAAATGAGGTTTTCATACTAATTTATTAATCCTTATACAATTTACGAAAAATACCTTTTAACCATAAAAATGTCCTACAAAGGACAAAAAATGATAAATAAAAAATTTGTCGTTTCATACAACAACAAATTTTAGATTCTGAGTGAAACGATGAATGTATTGATTTTACAATGATGTGTGTTTTTTTTTTTATTTTTTTTGTCTGTGTACACGATAAGTAGTCGAAATAATGCTTCGATTTTCGACTTCAGTATCTTGTTCGATTGGAAAGTGAATATCGTTGGTGCATGGGGGGATTTCAGAAAATCGATTTTGGTTTATGGTGTAACTTTAGAAAAAAATGACCATAGATACATGAAATTTTCACTGGTTGTTTATATTTGCATTTTCTATACACGATAACATTTTCAAAATATTTTGATTTATATGGACATTTTCATTTTAGATTCTGAGTGAAACGATGAATGTATTGATTTTACAATGATGTGTGTTTTTTTTTTTTATTTTTTTTTTTTTATTTTTTAATTTTTTAATTTTTTAATTTTTTTATTTTTTATTTTTTTTTTTTTGTGTCTGTGTACACGATAAGTAGTCGAAATAATGCTTTGATTTTCGACTTCAGTATCTTGTTCGATTGGAAAGTGAATATCGTTGGTGCATTGGGGAGGTCAAAATTTAAAATTCCCAATAGTTTTCACAAGCGCCAGGAAAAACAACATAAAAATTAAGGAAAAACGGGAATTTTTACGCAAAATCGGTTTTTGACAAAATCGAATTTGGTTTTTGGTGTAACTTTTAAACAAATGGCCGTAGATACATGAAATTTTCACTGGTTGTTTATATTTGCATTTTCTATACACGATAACATTTTCAAAATATTTTGATTTATTTTGAACTGTTTAGGGACATTTTCATTTTCCATTTTTTTTTAGTTTTTTTTCTAGAAATATCAATAAAATTTTATTTGTTGGTTGCGAAAGCTTGAAAATTTAATAGAAGACTCCTAGTATATTGTTTCAAAGGCAGATGAAAAATATTAAAAATCGTTGGTCAAAGTTTTTTTTTATAAGCATTTAAAGTTCAAAAATTGACAAAATATGGAAAAATCACGAAAATTAGCAAATTATTTTGAGTTAAGAATTCGCAAAAATTTTTCTTTTTAAATCTAAGATTTGAAAATGTAATCAAGATTACTCATAAGTTTGTCTACCTTTATCAATAAAAAAATCTCTACCGGACAGTCAAATTAAATTTTTATGAGCGTTTGAAATTCAAATTTTTACAACATTGGATGTTCACTCGATTTCTCATGTAGCGATTTCCTTATTTTGTTGTTATTCATAAACGAATAACTATAGATACATGAAAATTTCACTGAATGTTTATATTAGCATTTCCTATACACCATACAATTTTGAAAATATTTTGACTCTTTCTGAGCTGTTTACGGATATTTTCATTTTTCAATTTTTTTAGTTTTTTTTTTCTATAAATATCAATAAAGTTTTATCTGTTGGGCCAAAAAGTGTAAAAATGTAATACAAGGCTCCTGATACATTGTTACAATATCAGTTGAAAAATATTAAAAATACATAGGCACAGTTTTTTTTTATAAGCATTTAAACATCGAATTTTGACAGAATTTTTCAAAATCTCGAAAATTATTAATCATCGTAATTAATAAATTATAAAATGTTCAGTTTTTATAGCTAAGGATTGAAAATTTAAAACAAGATTCCACTTAAGTAGTTAATTCTCTTACCAAAAAATCTAAAAAATATACAATCACAGTTTATTTGTATAGTCATTTTATGTTCAAATTTGGACGAAATTACATATTAAAAAACCTAGTTATTTTGTTGTGATTATAATATATTATTCGTGGGTACCTACTTGAAACTTCTAAAGTGTACTATTATATATCTATGATAGTATAAGGGTTTGTTATTGATGTTGATGTATAACGTGTTATAAGTACCTAATGGATATTGTGATAATGTGATAT